GTTCCTAGACTCGTTTATTATCGAACATGCTGAATTTGCCGAATTTTGTCTCTTTCCATTAGGACCACATCGTATTTGTCAAAAAAAATTGTTTTGCAAAGGCACGTGTTTTTAGACGCAATCTATGTAGTTTTCTTAACAGTCTGAAAACTAAGCTCTCGGTGTTCAACTTGATCTTTATCCCCATGCTTACTTACGGTTATGAATCGTGGACTATCACTGAAAAACTTCGAACCCGTGTACAAGCTGCTGAAGCGGGATAACTTAGACGAGTCGCTGGCCTTACGCATCTCTACATGACCCGGAACACGGATATCCGAGAGAGCTGTTTTGGTAGCCTCTGCTTCTGCAGATTGAGAAATCACAGCTGCGATGGTTAGGATATGCGTTGTGAATGCCTTCGGAAAGGAAGGCTAAGCAACGACTGGCAGAAGGCCCAAGGGACAGCCAAGAATGTTGTGGTGCAGATTTATGGATGGACTCTGTTCCATATCCCAGTTGTCTTCTGCCGATACTCAGAAACAGATTCAGCATCAGGAACGTTTGACGCACTGTCTGAAGCTTCTGCCTGCGTGACCTGAAAGTAGAAGCGGCAATGGAAGAAGAAGATAAAAAGTACACCATGTTAATAACGGAATACAGTAGAAAGGGAGAGCTCAGCATTTGGAGAGCCAAACTCACAGTAGACAAAATCTTAGTAGACGAAACTCACGATAGACGAAATTTTGAACTCTTTGATTTGAGCCAAAGCAGACTAAATCACCCGCACTGTTTTAGAAGCGGATAAGTGAATGATATTCAGTAGCTAGTAATCATGGGATGACATCACTGGTGCAGCTGTTCAAATGACAAACAAAGCATTTGTTGCTGATGAAACATAACAGAGTTGGGATCATGAGCTTCATGAAAGAATGGAGCCATAACTCGCCAGCAATCACAGAAGAGTTAATTAAACTAATTTTTTTATGTCTGTGAATCTTCTACGTAGTTCCCATTAGAATGCTTTGTTATACTTGTGTAGTACTATTCCATTATTAGCTAAACATAAATTTCAATTTTGATTTTCAGGCTCTCTTGAATGATATAGTAATCAGACCGGCAAAATGGGTTGCGCATGATTTAAAATATTTTGCCTTACCTTTTGTAAAAAATTGCTTAATTTTACCTTTCTGGTTGATTAAGTGCTTTCGAAAATTTGTCCGATCATTCTCACGTTGAAAGAACAAAATGTCGTCTCTGGTCTACATGTTTTTCGCCTAATAATACAAGTGTATATTTTATTCGCTATAACTGCTAAGTATTGTTGTCGACATTCAAAATCATTGTGGTTTTGTATGTGTGGAGTGAAGGAATAACTTCAGAAGATTATATCGCAGTGAAGATGAGGACATAAAAGCACAATTTTATTTCCTTTCAAGATGTTAATATGTCCAAGAGTTTCCTGCGCTCATTCATATAATCGACCGGTATCCTTTCCAAACATGTTTCTCTCGAATGCTTGTCGAATCTCATTCAGGTTCGTTTGTGTATAATAAGCTGGTACCTAGTATCTTGAACTTTCTGAAAAATGCAGTCTTCAAACAATATTGTCGTTGTCGTCTATTTGTTGAGCCATTTGTATATGCAGATGATCGAGCCGAGATACTTAAGCTGATAAATTTCTTGAACTGATTGATGTCCCTGTTCGATTTGTAGATTAGCTGTGCCGGATTTGTTCCTCATAATTTTTATTTCAGGGTGTTAAGGTAAAAGCTGGCTTTCGCAGCGTTTGTGCACGACGACGTGCAAGACACAAGCTCTACATATTTAATATAGTTTCACTGGATACCTTTCTGCATTTCACTGGATACCACTTTTCACTGTTTTCTTCCGT